TGCATTTCTTTTTACAGCGAAAGCTGTTATGAGATCACTTTTCGGGTCACGCGCAGTTGTGCGCCACCGCTGCATGCCGATGGTGTCCATAACCACGTCGAGTGAAATTTAAAAAAAAAAAAAACCTTGCACCACTGACACATTGATGGCTTGAATCCGGGTCCATTGGGTTCCAGCCCAGTATTCTACCACTGAACTACACCGGTGCTTGTGACTTCTTGTCAAACTTGCCTTAGGCAGGCTTGACGTCAGGAAAGCAATCGCGTTGGCATACGACTTATAAAACGTTTTGCAACAGCGAAAGAACAACCAGTCGTCGCACAATGCGAATAGCGCTAATGAGCGGGCCGTCCAATGCTCCAAACCGTCACAAAAGCTTGTTCTTGTTCCCCTTTTAACTGTGGCGCATACCCACTTCAGCCATAATTCCTCCTCGTCGTGAACCACTGCATGGACAGTTGCCACAACATTCCTTGCAAGTGTTAAACAGATACCACACTTCTCAGAAGATTGATTAAAAAAAGCATACAGCGAATGTCGGCCTACTACCTAAAAGTTTATTATCAATGCCCTAGTGGGTACCAAGCAAGTGTGCTTGCAGTAGTTACCCAAGGAGTGTTTTGAAAAGGCCTTGAAATGCCGCTCTTCTAGCTTTAGCTGTGACTATGCTGCGCCTACCACGCAGGCCTGTCATTTTCTTTTCTTTATGTCTGTCCCATGTGTAATACCTTTCTGAGAACCTTGCGGCACGATTTCAGATATTTTAGTATATCTTTGGTATTACGAGCTAGAACGTGATACATATGATTGTGAGGCTCTGGAACTTGGACCATTTCGTTTAACGTGCCCTGGCATGGCACAGTATACACTGGTGTCTGGCTTGTCACTTCCATCTTAATGCGACCGTCAGAACAGGGATCGAACCTGTGACCTTCACAACATCAGCGGAGCTTTTGTAGACATGTGCCCGAACGGTGGTCTTGACGTATACGTGTAAAAGAAACAGGACGTATACGTGGTTTTTATTGCAACAAATTAAGAAAAAAAAAGGTGGCGTGACGAAAGTTAGAACGATGACTACAAATATAGGAAGCTTCATTATTTGCTCACGCTCGTCACACAGTCGCAAGGGATGCTGGTAGTTTGGCTGAAATTCGAGAGCGCAAGGTGTACGTGAAAAGGCGACCGCATGGAAGCGATCCAACTGCTTCAGCTATGACCTTTAGGCGCTTTCCGGGCCCGAAGATGACACGCCATATCCTGCGGGCTTCTTTTTGTGTGCGTAGTACATGTTTTTTTTTTTATTTCTTTCCCCCGAAGCACACGCCACGCGCAGATCTCGTCGATAAGACGGCGGAGAACAATTTCATGACCTAATAGTGCTACAAGATATGTAGCTGCAACAGCGCATGCGCGAATGTTGGAGAATTGTCGTTAAAAAAAATATTACACGTGGGATGCCCGCCTCCATTTTCCATTCGCTGCCGGTCGCGCGGTGCTTTCTGTAGGCGGCCGTTCTTCGGCGCCATGTGGAATGGCTTGCTTCAGAGATTGATACTGTTGTAAAATCTTGACCGAGAACTCGGGCCAATAGTCGTGCTAAAGGTACAAATTTAAACAAACATTAACTATGCATGCTAACTTGATTTGGAAAAAAAGTAGAACAACAAAAAAGGAACAGCCAGCAGTACAGACCATCTCGTAATTACTAACTTAGGAGAAAATATACGCACCTTTGACCTGCCTACTGAGTGCAGAGTGAGCAAAAATATGTTCAGTAGCTGAAGTTGTTTCATAATCTGCTTAACTTTCCCCCTTGATAATTCCCGTTTCGATGCGATAAGGTTAAAAAGCTCATTTCAATGAAGTTTTGGCATCAGTGTCGACATTAGTCGTGAGCTGAATATTATCTTTTTTACGACCGTAAAATTGAGAAAGATGCAAATAAAATAAATAATGAAAATTTCTGGGTTCGCGTGCTGATCAAATCCAGACCATCTGCATGGCAAGCAGGTGCTGTATTACAGAGCCATGGTGATCGTTGAAACTTCTTTGGAGAAAAGCTAAATATATATATAGTGCACTGCATAGATGTGTTTGATGTGTGTTTGACCACTGCGCTTCGCAAACTTTTTTTTGTTTCATGTCCTTATCACATCACATAGCATAGAATCGAGCCAGATATCAGAAGATTTGAATTGAACGAGTGGGTTTTTTAGAGGTCCACCCTCAGACATATTTAATCATCATCAGCAACAGAACCAGTGAACAGCTGCACAAGTTCGTGTGTTGCCTTACAAACTAATAGTAGGTCCCCCGTCAATTTGCAAAGGAAGTAATTATGGTGTAGTGGGCACTTAACGACTGTGCTTGCAATAGACATTCAATGATACTTTAACAATCGACATGGGTCGGGCATGTAGCGCGTAGACGGGATAACCGCTGGTCTTTAAGGGTAACTAACTGAATTCCCAGAGAAGGCAAGCGGGTAAGGGGAGACATAAGGTTAGGTGGGCAGGCGAGATCAAGAAGTTTGCAGGTATAAATTGCCAGCAGCAAGCACAGGACCAAGTTGACCGGCGGAACATGGAAAAAGCTTTTGTCCTGCAGTAGACGTAGTCAAGCTGATTATGATGATGATGATACTTTAACTAGCCAATGTTACACACACAGTGGTTCGTTTTCTTACAACACGGTTCAGGCACGAATTGAGAAACGAAGCAGGCTAGCAGTTCAAAAAGCTATGCGCATGAGACCTGATTACGCTATCCCGTACTCTTTAATGCGAAGCTCAAGCGTCCTCCAATTTTTTATACTTATATCGTCACATGCGAAGGAAATCAAGACTTTTGTATTAATGATGAAATATTCTACGTATCCATAAAATCTTTGTGCGAATAAGAAACGAAAAGCATGTCTACCATAAGTTACTGTCAAGCAGAGGCATTGTATATGAGTATATACTGAATTACAAACATTTCTTTTGGAAGTGGATATGAATTGTAATAGCAGTTAAGAAGACTAATGAAGCACTTCATTGTGGCATAGTTATCAGTATAGTACTCTCCAAACATGCGCCCAAAACTGGTAGCATCAGCAGCAGTTGACCCCATGCTAAGCAGTTGCAAACTATAGTCATTGCAGTAAGATAGCATGTTCACAATTTAGCAAAAAGGGATAGCCACAACTGTTAATGCTATAACTAAGATGCCAATAAATAAAATACATTATAGTCTAATACATAGAATGTACGAATAAATTTATGTGCCATACGATTCCATCCTTGTTTTTTTTGCCTAGAATATGTATGCTTCACATCGATTATTTCCAGATGCCTCTACCATTCTGTAGGTCGGTAGATAAAAGATCAAAGGTCTTCAAGATGGAAGATCAAAGGAAGATCAAAAAACTTTAGACCTTGGTGTTTTAAAGAACCACTTTACTGACTCAGAAGCATTACAATTCTGCAGTTCCTGATACATTTTTTCCTGACTGGTCTGTGAAGTGAGGGAATTGTGGTATCTATGAACTTTGTGTGAAGTTTGCCAGTGAAAAAAAGAGAATCTCAAATGTTCTTGGCAGGACAGTGCCTTGGAAAATCACTTGACAGAATCGCCACATAGCAGCTCTCTGCCAATTCTCCTGTTGCATGTTTTATGGCCCACAACACAACAGGTCATATCGATGTTCAAGTTCAGGCCATATAAACATTAAGTGGAACACTGGCAAGTTGGTGCAAGGAAATAGCTTTGGCAAAAAACACTGGTTATATCAAAGCTTTGAGAGCTCATATTGAAATGTCAAATAGCAAATTTAATTATTGCCAGTATTCTTCTCATTATCACAATAATGATGGCCCGAAATTCCTTCTCTGCACCAATTTCAGCATAATTTTGAAGCATCTTGTGTTATGTAGTCTTCCCTTGTCCCCTAAGGTAGACATTTCAATATGTTTCTACAGTGTATGAAACTGTACAGATTGAAAAACAGTGGATGAAAAAGCAGCACAAATAAGCAGATGAGAAGCGTGTTTGTGTTCTTCCTTGCTGTTGAACTATTGTTTTGCAATGCATCTTTTCAATGCACATGAAGTGATTGCAGCTTTCTTCATTTTTTCCCAATTATGTCGAGAAACAAAGCGAAAATGGCACACCTCGCACAATTAGCAACTTTTGGTCACAGATAGCTGTTAAATCATGCTGTGCATGATATTAAGCCTTATTGTAGTTTTTAAATAGCTAAATTATCTAAAACCTGTTTTAACAACTGTTTCATATGACTCTACTTAATCATGTTTAGTGTATGGACACAAATTGTCACATTCTATCGCTTATGATGCAAAGTTGTTCTTTTTGCTGTTTAAAAATGGTTCAGGCAAGACCTGCCCACTGAGAATGATATGGGTAAATTTGCTCCACTTATTGATAGAATGCTAATTAGTTCTCCATTCTGTGTTTGACTTCTCTCTAATCACAGAGCAGGCATGCATCTTGACAACCCTTTCGTAACATGGATAGGTATGGCTGTAATAGCAACGGAAAGAGGTTAGAGGTTTCACTGACAAAATAACTTTCCAACATCTATTGTGATTGCTTTTGATATTGCGTTAGATATGCTAAAGCACACCTGTAGAATCGGTTGCATTGACAGAAATCATTCTAGCATCCTTTTAGAGGCAAAGTGTCCTTAAAGTGCATCATCGTTGCTCTTTCTCGTGCTTAAGTTAGAGTTCATTTAATTCATTATCGACATAGTCACCCTTTCACTTTAGTTTACAGTGGAACACAGTGCATGGTACTGCCTAGTCTCCTCTGTTGTTGTCTTTTTCTCCAGTTTCCCTCTGTGTGTATTTTTCTTTATGAAAGCTGTCTAAAGCTAAATCTTGCTGCAAGCACAAAGAAAGACAGGAGCACTGGATAACTCTAATGATAAAAGTGTGCATCACTAATCAGCCCTGCGGTATAATTTGTTAAGCGAACTTTCTTCTCTGCTTTGTGTAGAACCCACCAACCAGCTTTCTGAAGACTCAGTTGACAAGAATTGCAGCCCTGACAGACCGCCACTACTGGACCCTGAGAGCGGGGTGCCTATGCTGCAGTGCTCCGTGTGTGGCTATGCGGCAGCGTTCAAGATTTCTATGCAGAGACATCAAAGAACGCACACGGGCGAGCGCCCATACAAGTGCAACTACTGTGGCAAAACTTTCACGCGGAAGGAAAACCGGGACTTGCATATCCGCATTCACACCGGCGAGAGACGTTTCAAGTGCCACTTTTGCCCGAAGGATTTTGTACAGAAGTACAGCTTTATACGTCACATGAATATTCACGAAGGCTGAAAGCTTTCTCACGAGTGTGTTTGAACCTAAGCAGCAAGATGAAAGACCGAAAAGATGTGATATATTTTACAGATTTTTGGCATCAAGTGCGAGGCTAGTGCAAAGGTATGGGCTAATCAGATACGAAATTTTGCAGTTAGGTGTGCCATTGAGCTACTAGAACAAACAACAGAACATATATGTGTGATGCCTGAATGAAAGCGAATAAGGTCGAAATATCCCTAAGTTTGCAATAAATGTTGAATACGAAAGTTGTATGTGCATTTGACATAGTATGTACAAAGTACATATGCATTTAGCCAACTATGCGTTATGTGTGATTACATATGTATTGTCAGCAGTGTTTTATTCATGTTCCAAAGTTATATTGAATAAAGCAATTTTCTTAGTACTGTTTCATTAATGCATAGAATTGCCTCATTACGACCCCTCAGGAACAACCCTCTTTATATTTTTGTTGAAAACCCAATTCACGTCATCCTTCACTTGTTGTTAGCTTTACAATTTTTCTTAAGACCCGAAGCCCTGTGTTTTTATGAGTTCCCTTAATACCATGTGAAAGTTAATTGTAGTACAGTTTGCTTCAAGAATTTACACGTGTTGTTTGCCGATTGCCGTCTTTCTGTGTGGTCCCTTGGCTTCCTGCATGTTTTCATGTAACGTGCAAGCTCTTTTCTATGCCTCAATAATACGTGTGCTGTGAAAAGAGGATGTAATCTATGACGCATAAGCCATGGGGACGACCCTAAAAAGAGAACTGTTGTAGCAAATGGTGTAGCTGTAAACCACTTGGTAAATGCAGCTCCACTACTGGAAAACTTGAGGAAGTGCATAGTACGGGCACCCAGCGATTCCAGTGTGTAGAGTCCTCACTGCTCTTTTTACCAAGTTGCCGGTGACGTCAGTGTTTGACGTCAATATGCAAAGTTTTCCCGGAACGAGTAGAACCGTCTTTGAGATTCGCCAACTCAGTGTGCGACTTGCAGGCTTACATTTCGCTATAATTTACCGACCTCCTGCCTGTTGTGGCAGTTAAGATTGTCTTGAGATAGTCCTCAGCGAGGTTCATATGGTTGATTCCCCCTTTTACATGTTGCGAGGAAACGCCGATGGGAGAAGCAAACGCGCGCTTGCAGAAACAGTGGCGACCTCTCTCGCCCGGTGCGCATGTTTCCGAAGCGTTTTTAGCAATTGCTGCGAATACTTATTGAATATTTCTGCAATTATATTAGACTTTGTTCGTTAATTTACACCTTGTTTTAAGCAATGCCAGTCTTGCTTTTTGCTTTATGCTTGTATTAGCATGTGATTGAGTGGGCGTGATCATGCACGGGTTCTGTTCACGTTCGAAGCGGTCTTTTTTTTACTCCAGTTCAGCGCTTGTGCCAAGAAATTAAAAAAAAAATTATGCTTTGCACATAAAGTTTCACACAATAATTGTATCAAACTTTGTGGTACCCCGCAATAAAGCTGCGCGAGCTTGAAACAGAAACCGAAAGTGCAAGTTTTGTTGTTTCCGCAAGGGGGCAAGTGGAAGTCGCGCAGAAAGCGTGCTGGAAACGCAGAAGACGCGTCCAACCGACGCGACTATTTGGTGCATGAGACCGATAAGTTCTAGTTTGCCTTTAATTAATGGCCTTTATTGCCTCGTGAAACGTGTCTTCGACATCACACGTGGCCGACGTATCGATGAGGGCTCCCGAACGAGTGATTGTGCCGTCCGCGGTGTGCCCCTGCCAAGGTGAGCCGCAGGAAATTCAGCCAGCGACGGCGATTACTGTGATAAGCGATTGCAAAATCTGCAGAGATAGCGCTCGCCCAAGTTCAAAAACGAAGAACGCCACGCTGGTCACTGACGGGCTCCAGCATACCACTAGGTAACTTCGGAGACGCTACAAAAACCTGGGCATCGCGGACGGACGTCAGAACGAAAACATGCCGAACTCGAGCGAAACGATGGAGCTCGCGATTCTCAGAGCCCCGATACCAATGACGGCACGACTTTACGAAAGGCAGTTCGAAACACCGATATCGTCGTCGAACGTCAGTATTGGAGCCAGGGTGACACATGCAAAAAAAAAACCGCAAGACCGGAACTACAGAAACTTTGCCAACGCGATCAAGAACCGAATCGATACGGAGTACGCCGACATCGGAAGTGGTTGTACGCATCGCTCGTTTGTGTTAGTTGTCGGACCCTATCAAGGGTGCCAGTAACCTACGCCGTGCCGCTCCGCAGTTCGAGCGATTTTGCCCGTCGGCGACGTACCGCAGTACCAGTGGCGTCGTCCGTAACGTTTCTGTTCACGTCCCATGACTGCAATACGAGTTTACCGCGAATCGAAGCTGCTCGGCATAGGTTAGGTTGCGGCTGAATGATGAACAGTTCGCGCAGAACCGCAACTGTGAGATTGTTACGGACGTGGGCCCATATTGGCATCTTGTGCAGTCCTACTACTGTAAACCAAGTGATTGCTGTGGGTGAGGTCTCTACATCATTGAGAGCATCAGTAATCAACAAGGGCCTCAAGTGGCAACAAGCCCTTTCGTTATAACTTCATTGATTGCTTTCACAGTGGCATCCACGAATATATTCCACAACAAAAAGAAATCAAACCTTGCTACAGAACTAGAAAGCGCAGACAACCTCGGAAGAATGAGAGCGTCGTGATTCCAACGGAAATTTTTAGTCGGCCAGTATTTTCTTCAGTAGACACTATTAAAATGCTGTGGAACCATTAACATGGACGACAACATTCACATGGCAAATGCCCACTGCTACCATCATCAGAAAAACGAAGCACAGATTCACCCTGCAACAGTCGAGGCATGTAAAGAGTTCAAATGGGACCAAAGCCACGCTTTCCGCTCTTCACGTTTCATTCCCTCGCGAGAGTACCTAAGCAAACCAACCATACATACGTCTTGTATTTTCAGCCCATCAGAATGTGGATCATCAGCAGCTAAGAACCAAAGCCATTAAGTCACCATTTCAGGATTGACAGTTGAGAGAGAGAGCAAGAGCTATGATATTCAATGATGTGCATAACATGTAAATGCATATACTTAAATTATAAAATCTATTGTTTCTTGTGCCCTGCATTCCTCATGCAATTTTGTTTGGCTGTTCATGCTTAACAATTTCATTTTTTCGCAGATGCCTCAACGATTACCGCGGCCACCAGAGGGAAGACAGTATGGAAGGAGTGAAGCCAATAATTACAGAAAATCTCTTTGGCCATAATCAACAATTTTACTGACTATAAAAAGACAGAGAGATAAAGATGCAAAGAAACATTACAATTATCTATAGGCTCCTTCTAAAATTCTTTTGTTGATGTGCTAAAATATCGACTTTTGACTGATCTGTGAAGTGTGGAAATGGTGGGGGGAAACTAGAGGATGCAGACAGAGTGCATGGACACACTTCATGTGTTTCGTGCCTAGTAGCCCTTTCCTGCCTGTCTCAAGTGGTGCAAACATTCTATGTGTGTGAACTACTTTCAAGTTGCCACTTTGAAAGTCATCATTGTGTTTAACCTATAAGAGTTTCTCTATATAACAATTTTGCAAATCGGGTTATCAAAGGCATTAAAATATTTTTAACAAAGTGCGATTTTTTTTTCTCACAATTTAATTAGCAGAACTGTGCAGGCATCTTAGCATTTTCAGCCTTTCGGAACATGACTCGTGAGCAACTTCAAGCTGTAGCTATTTGGCCACTATAGCCAGTTGTTCAGTCAGTTGGTAGATGTACAGGCTTCAACTATATACATAGTTGAAGTACATGTTATTAAATATATTGTTTCATCTCTGCATTTCTGTAGCAGTTTCCTCTGGCATAAACCATGGTCAAGATTTATTCTTATTCTTTGCAGGTGACACAATTGCTTGGAAGAAGACAGCATGAAAGGAGCGAAGCCAATAATTACAGAAAAACTCTTTCAACATTGGTGACACAAATGAGCAGATATTGCAGATGTCTTTTGCCTCTATGAATATTCAAATACGGTGTTGCATGGTTTATGTTCATTTATGAACTTCCCAGCTAAGCCTAAAATGGGTGACAGCTTTCTCTTTCTACTTCTTGGTTACACGCAGGAGCAAAACTGAATAGACATACTACTTTGCAGAATAGCAACTGTTCACCACAAACGACTGCTCATTCATACTGCTTATTGTGCACCTTGTCCGGCTGTAGTTATGTTTCATCTAACAGTGAAATGAACCCTTGATACACTCTCTCTTTCGTTCATCTAACTTAATTGTAATTTATTAGTGTGTTTAATAGAAATGTTCAAACAACTAGTGGTTATAGTGGCCCTACTTGGTCACACTTGCAACTTATTTTGTTTTTTTCATGTATGATGTGGTTATTTTTTCTATTTTTAGAGATGAATAGGCTACAAGTACTCTCTCAGTATAATATAGATGAATCCACTACTATTATGTCAGTTGGCTCTGCATCATACATTGGCTTCCGTTTGGCTTCCATGTCATAACAACCAGTCATCACACAGTGCTAATTGCATGAGCTAATGGTTTAATGCTTCCGACTCGCTGCAAACTGCTCAGTCATAATTTTTCGTCGTCGTCAGCCACATGCATCTTCAGCAAAGTGGACATTACACCTTACAGATGTGTAGCGGGTAACGTCCCTTGTCCACAGAAAGACGAATAATGGTGTAGTGGGTGCTGTCCTACTACACAAAAATTAGGATTTATGGCATAGTCGATAACTTGCGGAAAGCCAAGACTTCAAACACAGTTGGCCTTAGTCTAATGCTGTGCTCAGAATTTGCACTCTCAAATTTTGAGTACAGCATTGCTCAGAATTTATATTCATCGGTGATTTTTTGTGTGTGTGTGTGATATCAAGCATTTCTAAAGCGTTTCAGATAGTCGAGTTGCCCTTACAGACACACGTTTCAGTCACTGGTTAGATTGGAAACTTGGAATGTTCCGGTTAATTCTGTTGGAGATTCTGCAATTGCTGCTCGTCCTTGCATAATGTTTTAATAGCAGCAATGAACCTTTCACTTTTAATGTGTGCAGTATTTACATTAGACAAAAAAAAAATTGGCAGCATATCCACAAAGTGAATGATGGAGAGTGGGGCGAAGCATTTGTCAGTCCATTCGTTCTTGCTTCCGTCCGTCTATGTGACCATCCATGCGTCCATCCACCCGTCCGTGCGTGCGTCTGTTCGTGCGTCCGTCCCTGCGTTCGTTCATGTATCCATCCATGGATCTGTCTGTGTATCCGTTCGTCCATCTATTCAACACTCCAAGTACCACCATCTCGCATCTTTTCATCATATATATACCCCATACAGAAGCACCACCATCCAGCGGACATTCCAAGGACTAAACGAGAGGTGGCACACGCACACTTTCTTACGGCTTGCGCTTCGGGTCTACTTTCTACCTTTAACCACCTCGATTTCATGGTATATACTAGTTCACTGCATTCATGGCACTGTGGCCTAACACTCGCTAAACCTTTCTAAAACCAAGGAGGTTACGCCCAGCGAGTATAACCTAGCAACCCTTTCTTGTCAGATAGTGCTCAATGTACATGCCAATGGCTGCGAATGGGAAATGAGAGACAGGAGAATACGACTTTACTTTCTTATGGCTTGCGCTTCGTATCTACTTCCCACCTTTAACCACCTCGAGTTCATGGTATATATTAGTTCATTGTATTCATGGCACTGCGGCTCAACGCTCGCTTAAACCTTTCTAAAACTAAAGAGGTTACACCCAGCGAGTATAACGTAGCAACCCTTTCTTGTCAGATAGTGCTCAACGTACATGCTAATGGCTGCTAATGGAGATCGCAGTGTGCACGTTAACTAAAAGCCGTATGCTCCTGTCTCTCATTTCCCATTAGCAGCCATTGGCAAGTACATTGAGCACTATTTTCTATTGTTCAACAACGCACAGAAGAATCTCTCACCGGCACCACCTTGGAGGTCAAAATGTTATACTTGTTACACACTACAATGGCTACGAGGGATGAACGGGTGCCACTATAAGAAGCTTCGCCACTAAAAAGTACTAACGGTTTATGTGAAAACCAGCCAACACGTCTTTCTTTCACCGGTGAAAGGCTGGCATGCCACAATCCTGCTGCCAAAGCTTACATTTTTTGTTAGATGGCAGCAGACTATAGCTTCGTATCATTTTTTTTTTCAATTTTACCCTGTTTTTGTTGATAATGTGGCAATTTTGCTTGTGCAGACTTGGTTGCTGTGCATTGCAGCTCTGGCGGAAAGCTTCCTCAGGTCCCCCGGGGCCCTCGCAAGGGGACAAACCTGAAGCGTTGTCTCGTGTGTGGCTACACCACACCTTTTAACCAGCGCATGGAGTATCACCAAAGAATACACACAGGCGAGCGCCCATACAAGTGCCAATACTGCCACAAGGACTTCAGGCAGGTGGCCCACCTGAATGGGCATATCCGCATCCACACCGGCGAGAGACCTTTCCAGTGCCACCTCTGTCCCATGACTTTTGCGCAGAAAGGCAAACTTAAGAGGCACCTGAAGAAACATTAGACGTAGGACACTTTTTACCAATGGGAAGCAAGTTGTAACAGACTTGGCTGAGAAAGAGCATAATACGACACGCAAAATGTGTGCTGCGTATTCTATACCATTGAGTACAAAACTAGAAGCGCTCAGTTTAAGGCTAGTTGGTTCTGTAGGCGCACGTGCCACCTAGCTGTTAGAACGACCGGTGGATAGGGTATGCTTGACATTGGAGGAAGTGCAAAGGGAGAATGAATGTTGCAAAGGGAGAATGAATGAAGTGCAAAGGGAGAATGAATGAAAGTTTAGAATGAATGTTGATAGTTGCATTTATGTATGCACTTGACTGTGTGTTTACCATCTGTGAAGGAATATATATTGCATGTTTGGACGCATTCTAAACTTGTATTGAATAAATCAATTTGTGAAGCACTGCTTTACGCATTCTCCTTTGGAAACAAGCCAACGTTATGTCGTGATTTAATACCCGGTTAAAGGGGCCCTGTAACACTCTTTGAGCATGGTCAGAAAACGCTGCCGATTGATAGTAGAGGATCCCGACAACATGCGAGCCAAATATAGCGCAGCACGCGGCCTGAAATTCACAATAAATTATCAAAGTCAGCTAAAAATAGCTTTATCTTCTCTCGACAAATCACGAAGGCCAAAAATCACCCGTAGTAAGCCTATTTATCACATTGGCTGATTTGAACATGGCACACTTGGTTGTTACAGAGGTCACCGCGAGAGGCCGTCACTTGTCCACAGGTGCGCACGCAATCACACTGAAAAAGCCGTGTATTCGAAGCAAAAAAATGAAAGAAAAAGTGCTCAAAGTCCTGAGGCGCGAGTGACGTTTTTCGTTTGCCCATCCCATCCCTCCCTGCTTAGCTTCCAGCGCTTTCGTCGGGACAACAAAAGAGAGAATGCGATTACAGCGTGTGACAAATCTTTGCAACTCCGCCTGTACTGTACCGATTATTAAACTTTTTGCGGCATTGAATTTGTGAGCTAATGCACTTTTCCAGTGAATTAATTTCATGGTTACTCAAAAAAAGTGGTTCAGGGCCCCTTTATGATTGACCATTTTATACATTGTTGCTGTGAATTACTAGCTTTATAGTTTTATTTGAAAGGCAAGGCCCTGTTTTTTTTTTGAGATATCTTGTTTGTAACAATGAATATTTTTGGCCGTTAATTTGAAAGGTTGATGGGTACTCAGTCAATCGATCAATAAATCAACAATCCAGATTTCTTAAAATGTGAATTGATAGATTTCAGCGTGTTATGACATCACATAGTCACTTTTTTTTTCTGTGCCTCAACAAAGATGTGCCTGTCACATATTTGCCTGGATGCTATCAAAACAGCTGTTTTGTGGACAGTATAAAGCAGGTTGACGCACTGAAAATAATGCAAAATCAGCTCTGCGACAATGTGCTCCAATTCACTATGGTTCAGTGCCAGTTTGGATGAATTGTCAGACAGTTTTGCAAGATTGTGAACTAGGTGACGAATTGCTTTGGCACAATAAACTTTATCTTCAACAAGTTCACTTGTGCAATGCTATTGACTTAAATATGATAAGCCTAAACACTCGTATAGCATTGGCCATGAGAATGCATGCATGTGTTTCTCATAACTTGTAGCTTGCAATGCAATGTGCCACATGTTTGTACAACTGCAATTTTAGTCAATAGGTGGATAATAATAGTAATAGTTGGTGTTTAACAATCAAAACTACCATATTATTATGAGAGATGCCATAGTGGAGGGCTCCATAAATTTCAACCACCTGGGTTTCTTTAACGTGCACCTAAATCTAAGCACACGGGCTTACAGCATTTTTGCCTCCATCGAAAATGCGGCCACTGCGGCCGGGATTCTATCCCGCTACCTGCTGGTCTGTAGCCGAGGGCCTTAGCCACTAGACCACCGTGGCGGGTAGTCAATAGGCAGACCCGGCTGCGGCAGCTGCATTTCCGATGGAGGCGGAAATGTTGTAGGCCCGTGTACTCAGATTTGGGTGCACGTTAAAGAACCCCAGGTGGTCAAAATTTCCGGAGCCCTCCACTACGGCGTCTCTCATAATCAAATGGTGGTTTTGGGACGTTAAACCCCACAAATCAATCAATCAATCAATAGGCAGAATAAATGCAAATCGCTAGACTAGAAATGGAGGTCAACATTTTTACACATACACCACTGAAGCTTAGCAAACAAGGTATGCTGGGCAGGCTCATAAACTCGGCCATCTTATGAGCACTGCTTTGCACGTGTATGAGCTTTTGTGACCTTTCACTGCGTCCATCCCTGAGCTCTTTTTCGCACATTTAAATAGTGGAGTTTTTTTGTTGGGACAAATAGGACGATCAGAGAATGACAACTGGTTACTATCAGTTCAAATGACTTAAAATGAAAAGTTTTGCAATGTTTGTGCGGAAACAAATGTCTCTACATTATTTGGCACATGCCGACCACATGCAAATTGGCAGTTTTTTACTTATGTGATTCTTAAAGAGAAAAGAAGAGAAAAGTGAGCCCCGTAACTGTCTGCATCAAAGTGCGACACCTCAACAGTAGCTCACGAGGGATGGGGGTAAGGAGGGATTAAAAGGATAGGAGTAAAGGCATAGAGAGAGAGAGATGCGCTAGGACAGTGGACGACGACATGAGAGAGATAGGAAAGATGGAAACACGGTCATAGGAGTCTGAGCACAAGGCACCACTTGTCGGTGACAGGAGATGGCGTAGGGCTAATCCAGTCGGCCAGAGCTGCGCTGACGTCGAAGATCGGGAGGGCACAACTGGTCGGCACGGAATTAGCAGTATTATAACATAAGTATATCTAGTGTAGTGTTCAGTGCTTGTTGAATGTATAATATTTAAAATTTCTTGGATTTTACGTGCCGCAACCATGATGTGATTACGACGTGCACTGTAATGCAGAGCTCTGGAAGATTCGACCACCTGCCCCTTTTAATGTGCACCTTTTGTTGAGTCAGAAATTGTAGTGTGGTACATCATTTTAAATGGGTTGTCAGTCTCAACAAACAGTCTCAACAAACATGTTAAGACTGGCAAAACGATGGGTTTCATTATCTATCTCGAAACGGCACATTGATAGGGTGCCCAAAGGTGAGGTATGCTAACCCAACAACTGGTACCTATTTTGTGCTTGCAGCCTTCTCCGTATGTTAAGCAGCTCTGCCCATTGCACAAATACAGTAATGCACCAGAATCACTAAGACAGGGTCTCTATTTGAATAATTTTTCTTTATGTGGACTACAACAGCTACTGCTGTTGCTTGTTCCGAACCAACACCGCTTTTCTTGGCTCAGGCATGTTCGGAGGACATCAGTTCGGATTGGTTCAGTGTAAAGAGCATGTGGCGCCCTGCCTAGCCTAGTTTCATTACCTCGCCAAGTTCGGCAAGCAACCTTGGTCGTGCTTGGATAATAAACACTCACGAGCACTGCTCGGCAGTCAGTAACTGTTACTCTGCCATGCGTGTGGGGTTGTCCTTGATAGAGAGTGGCACCTTGACCATCCCTCTTGTCCACGGTGTTCGGGGCAGATTGGGACGGGTTCACTTCTGGCCGAAACTCAGTTGAGGGAGTAGAGTCACAGAAATCTTCAATCAATACTTTCAAAAGCTTGCTCGAAAGTGTGAAAGGTTTGTGTGACGACATCAGTTAACATAACGTTCAAGCAACATCATGTAGATTGCATCGAAGTAGCAGTGTTAGTGAGCTTACGTGCCGTTTGCAACATTTTACACATGCTTCTCCACCTTACTGCGCTAGTTCTACACAAACGCGCACCTTGTATCCTTCAGCAGCGAGACCATGTTATCAGTCGCTATTAATGTCGTAAGGGAATCGGACTGCGAGCATCCACCCGGATGCGAGCAAGCGGAAGTGTCAAACCATTTCGTTTGTGAACGCTGAAATGTTTTCGTACGACATGATTGCCATACACATCTTCCGTTGTTCCGCCTTGCACCTCTCTCCTGATATATTGCTGATGATTATGACGGAAAGTCCGGGAGTGGAGCCTTAGTTTCCAGACATCGAAAACCAAATAAGTTAGCTTTAACTTGCCTGTCCTGTGTTGAAACTTGTTGTAGCAAGCATGGAAAGCTCGTGTTGTAGTCAGTTTCACGTCTGATATTCTAAGTAGGTTTGTACTCTCTCTATTGAGTCAGATTCTTGTGTCTAAATTAGGTTGTACTTCAATGAAAACCCGGAGCCTGCAGAGTAACTGCAGAGTAACGCTTTCGACCTTGGTGTTTAAGTGAGCAAATCTACTGATCGTAAAAAAATTACAGGTCCTTAATTTTTACATAGATACTCATATATTAGCATTATTTTGATATGTGAAGCGTAGAAATCATGCTGGTGAGAAAAAGTTTAACAATCTTGGCAATATTGAAATTCAGAGCCTCAAGAATATCCACACTGGAGTGGCTCTGTAATCCTTCCGGTGGCTGCATGGTTTATAGTACACGAAGAGGTGAACACTGATCTTAACATTGGTAAACATTAAATCGGTTCCCCTACATTGAGTATCTTTCTCACACTAGTAGCTGTGAAATCCTGCCTGGTGCAACATATTTGTAACAAATCTTTTTGTATGTATTCTGCTCTCTTTCTTCCTTCATTTTCGTTTCGACATGGACATCGCGGTATGTTTCTACAGCATAGTTCACTGTTTAGTCAAAAAGAATTGTTCAAAAACCAAAAGGGACCACATGCAATATCGTTGCACCAGACACAAATTAAGCATACATGGTAGGATGTCGACACTGCTCTTTCCTTGTTGTACCAGGGCATTCCTCACTTTACTCCTCCATTACTGACTTTAACTGCATCTCAAGTTGTCACAGTTTTCTTTATTCTTTTATTCAAGTATATGAGCAAAATTGAACAGGCACACCATGGAAAGCTACACAATGCCGGACAAGCAGTTGTTGAGCAACCGTCTCACTCAAATAGTTACTAGTTTGATTTTGCTGTGTGCGTTTTTCCAGTGTTGCCCTAATGAATGGCAAGAAGCTCAGTCTAAACACTCGGAACGTATGAATAGCAAGTCTCGAGGACTGAATCAAACTGAAATATTGAAAAGTTTTTTTTTTCAATGATGCATAGCCACTTTTACAAGCTACTACAAATTACTGTATTACCAGATGAGCGCCACATTTTGTGTTCCCACTGAAACACCTCGAGCCAATTAGCCGACGTTTTCATTCACTGTTACGTGCTTCATAAGGGCCATATCCGACAAATTTAACTGCGAAAAGAAACTCTGGCAAGCTTCTCTGCGGTTAGCCTACATATGCAAGGATGAGATAATTCGGACAGTAGTGCAAGGAATCGCACAAATGGCCGAAGACTAACAAGAGACACAGTGCTATTGCTGCTCTTTCGCTGTCCGTGGGATTACGTGTTTACTTGCGCTACTGTCTTAATTATGCGCTATCAACTAGCCTATCAACTGTACTTTTCAAGGATGAGATGTTTATTATACTGAACACACATTTCCTCCAATGATAGAAATGATTTCAGCAGACCAGTGCACACATAAGCAAAGATGGCTTTAAATTCACTGCTGCAATTTTTCCTTCCTTGTGCGCTGCATCACAGGCTGTGAGTCGGGTACACTTCTGTCACGTGTAGAACGAAGAGCTCAGCGAGTCGGTAGGTATTCATATCAAAGATCGGGCATGCAAACATGGGCACACAAGAGAAGTGGAAGGGAACACATATTGTGTTACCTTGACTTCTCTCGTGTGTTTGAGTTCGCACATCCAGTTTTATTGCGATAGCAACTATGTCGACAGTCTCGGCTGGTTTTTTGCCGCCTGCCACCATCAATTATCGTATATATAGTATTTATATATACGAAAACACAAAAAAGAAAAAAAAAGGCAGCCGGCACTTGGCGCCCAGCTCATCACGATGCGCCGACGTGCCCATATCCCCCACGCGTACTTTGCCCGGCTAATAATGGGGGGGGGGGGGGAAGGGGAGGGAGGGAGTAGATGCTTGTGCGCCGCGCCCTTATCCTTCAGTAGGGAGAATCGCGCCCCGTTCAACTTTGACCGTAAAACTATTGCGCTTAGTTGCCAGGCGCACAAAGATCACTTCGGTCGCTGGACAGGCGCGGTTTGTGAAAAGAGTGTGCCTTTCAAACACAGTGAAGTAAAAACTGGGGTACTTGTTAGTTATCACTCATATCTGTACCTGTGATTACGTTTTGTCCCTCATTTTTGTTTAAACAGTGCATTAAGTGTTGAGCGGTAAACATTGTTAGTTCGCCCTCGTCTGTGTATGTTGTTTTTGTGCGTCAATTGTGCGTGAGTAGCGCACTGCACATTTCGTTCTGCTTGCCGTTCTCAGAGTTACATTCCAAGTAGTTGCTATCGCATTCATTGCTTCGCTCTCGCAACACAACTTAGACTTTTCTTTTTTAACATAAATTCCTCACGTTTATGCGCACATTCATTTCAATCTTATCTCTCTACATGCTTCACTGCATAGAGCAGCAAGCTGCACCTAGCACTAACTTTAAGTCTTAGCCTACGAGTTTACGCCACTTTTTGACGAAAATGTTGCAATTTCATTTATGCAGATTTGGAGCCTACTGCGCCGCTACTTCGATCAACCAGACTTTCAGAACCGTCACTTGAAATCCATCAGAAGCCACGTCTAATGTGTGGCTTCAACACGCCTTACATATTGTGTCATGAAGAACTGCAGAAGACATACAGGAAGGCACACCTACAATGTGCAGCCACAGAGAAGACAGGTGGCTCATCTGAATGAGTACCTCAACATCTGCATCAGCGATTTCTTCAAGTGTCACTTCTGTCCGATAGATTTTCAGAAAAAGAAAAAGGAAGGAACTTATGAACCATGTGGCAACACGCATTTGCAGCTGGCTAGATTTCGCTTTATGCAGTTCGCACCCATGCTGAGTGAAGTAGCAGTTTGACTGGGCATGTTCGAATGCTCACCGTGCCTACTTCCGCTCTATGGGTTCCTATTCAAAAGGAGAGCCTAAAATGAACACTAAAGTGAAAAACTGAATCGGTTTATATAGATCAATCGGACCATGAAAACTATAAGGTCATTGATTTGACCACCATAGGTTTATTAGCAGCGTAGAAAACCAAGGTGAAAGTTTCATTTTTGAATTAAATCTTCTGTGCATGATCTAAATGTGTATTTCTTGTATTTAGGAAATGTTGGCTCAACGAAATTTCTTTAAACTTGGTATGCTAAGAATATAGCCTTGTCAGAAGACAAGTGCACTTCCTTTTTACTGTTTGGTAACTACATAAAGCTAGTAGATGTCAAATTACATGACCTCATAGCAGTAAGTGTGGGAGTCTCAAAATGGTGTCGCCGCCCAAATTTTTTTTTTCGGACTTTTTCTCATTCACAAAGAGCCTTTCCGCAGCAAGTTTGAGGATTTTGGAATTAAAAAAAAATCATTTACTACTAGTATGAGAAAAACTCTTATTCTCCTTAGCGTTTCTTCAATAAGTATCACTTGATGACTCTCAGATGGAGGACATGTTTGCCTGTTGATGTGCACATTCGTGTGGAACATGATACCCAAATGTGAGAATACAAGAGATGTGTGCATCTTATTCTGCGATGTAAAGTCACAGGCCAGAGGGGCGATCGTTGGGCAAGATGGCTTGCACATGCTTCGTAAAGAACACACACAGTGCTAGGAAAAGTGCAAATCAGACGAAGAGCTTCCTGGACTTTATAAGGACTGTTTAAATATTGGGCTATGTGTGCGTTTCACTAAGTGCATTGCATCTGCAGGCGATCATGTATTCTTTATCCCAAGTTTATGCTTATCCCAAAGCTGTATTGAATGAATTGACTTGTGCAGTACTGTTTGGCTGATACATAGGGTAGCTTCAGCATTGTCTTTTGAGGATCAGCCATTTTATGTTTTGTTTTAGAAATTAATATTATCCTTCACACATACCTTCTTGTACCACTGTATCATGCACTCAGTAAGTATCATTGTTCTGCTGTGCCATTGCTGTTTGACTGAATTACAAATAATGCAGTCAAACAAACATTTATTCAATGTTGAAAAATTATAATTATGCAACTAGGTATAAGTATGCAATTGTGCTGATTTACAACCTAACAAACTATGCCAGCTCCAACCACAGCCATCACTGCCCCTCTCCTAGGTAACGTGCATAAGTACTCTATTCCACAATGCTTACCCATTTTTGTGATATAAAGCACTTCTGGAGTCTTTCAGATAGCTGAATTTCGCATAGACACGTTTGTGTCCCTGGTTTTAGATAAAAAATTTGAACATCCTGGTAAACTTCTGAGATTTATGACATTGCTGCTCAGCCAAACTAAACGTTTTATGTAATGCCAACAAACTTTCAACTTCAAATGTGCATAGTATTTACATTAGTTGAAAAAAAGCTCAAGCGGGAACCAGCTAGTACGACTGTCCTTATGACAGGTAAAAGGTGGTTGCGCCGTGGTTCTGTGGGCGAACCTTCCATTTTTTTTTCTCGATTGTAATTGGCAATACAGCTTCCGTGTCTCGCTTGTGCAGATTTGGCTGCTGTACGTATCCGTCCCGGCCAACCACGCCTCAAAGCCCATCAAGTTGGAAAGCGTCTTCGCCTGTGTTCCGAGTGCGGCTACACTACATTTTTCCACACCAACATGGAGAATCACCAGAGGGTACACACGGGTGAGCGCCCGTATGAGTGCGACAAGTGCAACAAGACGTTCAAGCAGAAGTCCGGCTTGGCCAAGCACACTCGCACCCACACCGGCGAGAAACCCTTCCGGTGCCACCTTTGCCTCACGCATTTTACGCAGCGGAGCAGCCTCAAGCGCCACATGATAACTCACGGAGGCGGGTAGCGTTCGTCTGATAGTGTTTTCACCTATAGTACTACATAATTGGCTAAGAACATATGTGCTCCTCAATCGGTGGCATCGAGTACAATGCTCAGAGGGCTGGGGCCAGTTGGTCGCGCATGCTGTGGCAAAATGTGCAACTGTGTCGCCAGAGCAAACGATGGACATGCCCGACACCTGAACAAGTGCGTACAGGGGTCAAAAATTCTTCACATCTACGACGAAATGTCAAAGCCTACATCGGCGTTTGGCCAAATTTTCTGTTTGTACGCGAGAACGTGTAAAGCTTACAATATTGTGCATTCATGCATATCGTGAGGCTGTGCTGAATAAAGAGCTCTTTGAAGTGCTTGGACGTCTGCATGTTGGGTCGCTTCAGTTCCGCACCTTTGAAAATACCACCTTTGCCTCACGCATTTTACGCAGCGGAGCAGCCTCAAGCGCCACATGATAACTCACGGAGGCGGGTAGCGTTCGTCTGATAGTGTTTTCACCTATAGTACTGCATAATTGGCTAAGAACATATGTGCTCCTCAATCTGTGGCATCGAGTACAATGCTCAGAGGGCTGGGGCCAGTTGGTCGCGCATGCTGTGGCAAAATGTGCAACTGTGTCGCCAGAGCAAACGATGGACATGCCCGACACCTGAACAAGTGCGTACAGGGGTCAAAAATTCTTCACATCTACGACGAAATGTCAAAGCCTACATCGGCGTTTGGCCAAATTTTCTGTTTGTACGCGAGAACGTGTAAAGCTTACAATATTGTGCATTCATGCATATCGTGAGGCTGTGCTGAATAAAGAGCTCTTTGAAGTGCTTGGACGTCTGCATGTTGGGTCGCTTCAGTTCCGCACCTTTGAAAATACCACCTTTGCCTCACGCATTTTACGCAGCGGAGCAGCCTCAAGCGCCACATGATAACTCACGGAGGCGGGTAGCGTTCGTCTGATAGTGTTTTCACCTATAGTACTACATAATTGGCTAAGAACATATGTGCTCCTCAATCGGTGGCATCGAGTACAATGCTCAGAGGGCTGGGGCCAGTTGGTCGCGCATGCTGTGGCAAAATGTGCAACTGTGTCGCCAGAGCAAACGATGGACATGCCCGACACCTGAACAAGTGCGTACAGGGGTCAAAAATTCTTCACGTCTACGACGAAATGTCAAAGCCTACATCGGCGTTTGGCCAAATTTTCTGTTTGTACGCGAGAACGTGTAAAGCTTACAATATTGTGCATTCATGCATATCGTGAGGCTGTGCTGAATAAAGAGCTCTTTGAAGTGCTTGGACGTCTGCATGTTGGGTCGCTTCAGTTCCGCACCTTTGAAAATAGGTCAAATAATTTAGTGCTCCAAAGCCAATGCACGTCTTGCTTCCCTGATACTATGTGCGATGAAGTGAGACAAAAGCTAATTGTAACATCCTCCAACATTCCGTATATGTAGAAGTTTTTTTTAGTGTGTTTTTGCTTCAAGAAATACATAAGCAGTCTGAAACAACACCAGGCATAGTTCATTTGACAATTGATTGATCGAGTCCATACTGAAGTTGAATATGTCTGCTGTTAAGGGCATTAGCACACATTTTGCCGAGTTTATAATCAATGCTCAGAAGAAGAAGTCACATGCAAAAGGAACGACAACTGAAACCTGTTTCCCCAACTACCACAAACTTCTCCAGCTTTTTCAGCAGCATAATTAGGACGCAAAGTCTTAGAGCGAATATTCTTTCGTATCTCGCAAGTACATGTTTAGATGAATTTTTATAAAGGCCAGATAATCAATAGTGTGTAATAGACACCAAGGTCTAAATTGTTTTACTGCAATTATGGGCTTTGCTCCTTGCACTGTCTTCGCTCTACTGGCCTATGTAATAACTGAGTCTACAGCAATGTATGTGGTTGTGCAGCTTGAACAGAGATTTAGGCCAAAGAAAACTGCAACGGAAATGCAGAACACATGCAACGATACATTTTTAAATGCAGACTATGCATACCACCCATACCATAAATTGTAACTCTCCAAACTGCCTATCCTGTTTTCGTTCCTAATGGGCCACAGCTTTCAGCTGTTTGTGGTATTCATATATTCCCTTGGTTTGAAAAGACAAAGATGTCTATGCGATTTGATTTCGCTACATCTTGAGAAAATTCAGGATTGGTATGATTGCTCTAACAGCTTTGATAACCTAGGAATTCATATTATAAAGCAGCGACAATTCATAGCTCTTTACAAAAGAAATGACTGCACTCCACAAAATTCTTACATATAGTAACTCTTGTGGTTAGGCTTGTGTGAATAGTGAATTTTTGGTTTGAAGTGAATTCGAAGTGAATATTGATTTTGGTTAAAAGTAATTTCAAATCCAATTTGAATAGTACATATGACATATAAATAAAAATGGGCATTATTATCATAACCTAACTAACCTGCACAATATTTTTTAAAATTGAAATAGAGCCTCTATGCAAATGCCTTTTTTTTTTCTTTCATTCAAAGGAAGTTGAAACAATTTTGAGTAGTAGCAGGATTTGACTTTCGGTAAGATTCGAGTGATAACCTGTGTTTAAAAGTGAGCATTTTAAAATTTATTATACATATAGCATATAAGTCATCATAACAAGCTTTTTCGAGCTTAATAAAATGAGTAATTGATTCGAGGGTAATAGGTTCACTTAAAGGGACCCTGCAACACTTTCAAGTAGACAAGAAATGGATTTACTAAAGCTTATTGCCTCACAAATTCACCGCCGCAAACATTTTTAGAATCCGTTCAGTATGAGCAGAATTGCAAAGATATGTTGCACCCTGCTTCTCTTCTCGTCCTGGCGAAAGCGCTGCGGGGAAAGATCACGTGTGCCTCACAACCTTTGGCGATTTTTCTCTCGTTCTTCGAATACGCGGCTTTTCAGTGCGAATGCGCACAGTACGCGTGGACAAGTGGCAGTCCCAGGAACGACTGAGCGCGCCACTGCCCGTGGCTGATACAATGGAAATGATGAGTGATTTTTGAGCTTGTGGCGTCATTTGCCGAGAGAAGAGAGCAATATTTAGCTGAATTCGAGATTTACTGTGAATTGCAGGCCGCGTGCTGCAGCTATAAAATTTGGTTCACCTTTTCTCGTTAGTCTTGACTACCAAATGGCAGCGTTTGCTGACCATGCTCAAAATGTTTTGCACGAGCCTCTTTGAATTTGAAGAAAAATCCTTGGCAGGGCAAATTTCTCCTGTAGAGATGCTTTCACGGTTTAGCACCCTTACACTGCAGTGAAACCACCTTTAACAAGCAATTACATGCGGATTAGTATACATTTATTAGTTCGTTGCGAATACTCTACTATTCGTTCGAATATTTGAACCATTCGAATATTCGCACAAGCCTGCTTATGGGTAAAATTCAATGCTTACAAAGTGGTAATTTGTGAGAGTAGGTCACACACACCAAAAATTTCCATCTGTTCATGCGACCAAAGAAAGACTAAGAAAAGGGAACATAAAACGAGTTTCTTGTGTCTATTGAGTAGCCCACATTTTTCTTGTGCGCAGCTGACAAGGTTTTTCTTTTTTATTTCCCCTGAAGTATGTCAAGAAAGTCTTATCTGTAAAAAAAAAAAAAAAACTCAACCATAACCTCCGATCCTCAAGTTCAGAGCATTGTCATCAAGACTGCGATGGATGCCGACTGCTGCTACAAGCAAGGCATGTCGAATGAAACCAATGAAGCTTTACAATTACATGTAGAAACAGCACAGTTAACAGTTTTCCTATGCAGGAAGATAAAACTATTTTTTGGTACCCTGAGCCTAAATCGAAGTATGAGGAATGCTGACACAGTCAACTGCAACCCAACATGTGAATCTGCAGTACGAACTTCATAATCAGTTCGTGCCTACAAATTCGCATCTGCTTAGGCAATGTCTCAGTCCCCATTTTGCCCCTCAAAGTGATTAGGGCAGTTGCGAAAAATAATCTGTTTGAGACGTGCTTCACCTTTATGCAACACAACATACATTTCATTCATGCATATAATGCGAATACTTAGGGGAATGAAAACACCAGCAAATAAGCACATTATGTGGTATCAGACATCAATGAACTCATTCCTGTACAGGTATGTTGTCACTACAAACCTTGATATAACCAAAGCAACCCAGATATAACAAATTATCTGTCACAATAAAGCAAATGAGAAATAGCTCTGTCAGATACAGTGCTCTGTCAGATATGTTCATAACGAATCTTCGAATATAAAGAAGTATTTTCATGGCAGGTGTGATTTTGTTAAAATTAGATATGAGTATACATACAGGGAGAGAATAAATTACATATAAGTATCTTTACTGAAAGATATAGCAAACAGTGAAAACACAATGTCGATTTAACACAATATCATGCTAACAATGCATCAAGGAACAACTGCAACATCACTCATTTTTAGCTATGCCTCAAACCTCTAAAGTTTGAAAACAAATTAAGGCATATTGAATTCAATGAAATAAAGCTGCCTTTAATGAGTTGCAGAGATGAACTGTGCTTTGTTAGTAAAATAGCACCGTGCCATGCCGTACTTACCCACATGAAAACCCATCCTCTAACTTTAAACATGAAAACCAGTGTTCAGGCGATATATCAGTCAAGATATTAGCAAGCTGCATTGATATAAAGGGAAAGAAAACAGAAGAGGTATTTCACAAGAAAGTATTCTGCGAGCTACTTACTCCACTAAAAAAAAAAGGTTATCAAAGAACATCAGCCACATTTAGGGCTAACCATAACTAAAGTCGCTGCTTCAAGGAAAACATCACAGAAAAAGAAGTAGGCATGGCCCTGGGATGAAGTTCTAAAGCTAGTAATTTACATGAACAAGGTATACATGATTAAAGATAGTGGGCATGGCCCTGGGATGAAGTTTTAAAGCTAGTAATTTACATGAACAAGGTATACATGATTAAAGATATGAAGTGAGTTTCAAAGCAAAACATAAGGTTGAAGGTGAAGTGGTGCTTTACCATTACTAAAGTCACTGCTTCAAGGAAAACATCACAGAAAAGAAGTGGGCATGGCCCTCGAATTAAGTTTTAAAGCTAGTAATCCACATGAACAAGGTATACATGATTAAAGATATGAAGCTAGTTTCAAAGCAAAACATAAAGTTGAAGGTAAAGTGGTGCTTTACTTCAACATAAAAATCAGTGTTCAGGCTATAATATCAGTCATGATATTAGCAAACTGCATTCATATAAAGGGAAAGAAAAAAGGAGGGGTATTTCACAATAAAGTATCCTGCAAGCTACTTAATTCCACTAAAAAAAAAAAGGTTATCAAAGAACGTGAGCCACATTTAAAGCTAACCATAACTAAAGTCGCTGCTTCAATGAAAACATCACAGAAAAAGAAGTGGGCATGGATAAGTTTTAAAGCTATTAATTTACATGAACAAGGTATACATGATTACAGATATGAAGTTAGTTTCAAACTAAAACATAAGGTTGAAGGTGAAGTTGTGCTTTACTTCGCATAATCATACATACACAGATATTTAGACCGATGGCCAGGGAAGGCTATCAGTCCAGACAGGCCACATGAAAAACTTAACAGCGCAGTATTCTAGAACATGCCATAATTTATGCTAAACAAGTCTTTATGAAATACACTTAATTAATCAATGTACATGTATTACAGAACCTGCTTTTTAAAAAAAAAAGTACTTACTACATTGCGATAAGTTAAGTGGCGGCTTTACCTTTAGGTGCAAAATGTGTACTTCATAAAGACTTTTGTTTATTATAAATTATGGCATGCAGTAGAATACCGTGCTATTAATAACAATTTGACAAGTTGAGGTCACCTTTTAGAGCATTTCAGATTTTCTGGTATATCATGTGTTGGAAAAAAAAGCTTGAAGTAAAGAAAGAAAGTCCTTGAAAAGCTTGGTGACGCAATCCAATGCATCAGAAAAATTGTACTGCACAAAATGCTCAACTTACAGCAGCATTCGAATAAAAAGTGCATGATCACTTGCACATACCACATGCTTAGCTATATGGCCATCTGCTTCAAGTCATTACAACTCCAAAAAGCTTCGCATCTATTTTCATACATATTCTGGAACTAAGTTTACTTCTGTTTTTTGCTTTGTGACACGCCCATTTCGCCAAAGCATCTGCGACCACCCACAATCGAATACAACTTAAGAAGGCAGTAGGAATTTCATACGGGTGACTTGATTGGTGATTTTTTTTTTTTAAGTGCAGCAAGAATAAAGCACGACAGGGAGAAGAAACGCATGACGACATCACAAGTGTGAACTAAGAACAGTCATTAGACATTATACTGTGCCTGTGATGCTTTTGTCGGTTCATTCTTCTTCTTGTTTTAATCGTGTTGTGCTTCTGACCGAAAAAAGAAATTGGGCCTGCACAGAACACTGAATGCTGACACAGAAAATTCTGGACGAGTGGCCTTTTTTATGCTCGGGGAAACTACAAGCGCAGTTGCAAGATACTCACTATAACCTTGAATGATAACAATTTTGCAAAGTAGGCAAGCCCCCCAACAGAATTGTTCAACATTCTGCACAGAAGTGTGGTAAGCACTATACATGTGCAAGGTGTTATTAGCACTTTGTTGATGCTGCAGCTGATGATGATAAATAATTATGGCTTAGCACTTTGAACTAAGAAGAAAGCTTTAGACTGATCACTAATTATGCAATTAGCACTACGTGATGCCTGGTAGCTATTTTACTCTTCTTTCAAGTGCGATATTACATCTGTTGAAGAAACACCTTGCCCGGAATGACCTGTGTAGGGTATTTTTGTGAACAAATTTTGAGCACCAGTGTGTCTCTGTGGTAGAATACTGGACAGTCACACTGAGGGCCTCTATTCAAACTCCACTCTTCTCATTGTATGAAACAGCATTTATGAACACCAGCAAACAACTACATCCTCAAAACCAGTTGTTGTGATCTCACAACAGCTTTTATTGCAAAACACAGGAAAGGCCTTCCCCAGATGATTAGAACACAGCACCCAATCAATTCCATAACTTCAACGAGTTCAACTCATATATCCGACTATATGCCCTAATGGCAAGGTCATTGGCTGTTCAGCTAATGCCATCAATTTAGGGTGCACTCTCATCAGTGCTGGCTTGTGTGCATCAGACTTTAAAGTAGGCAGTGCTTGTTGCTAAGCTAGTTGGGTCATTACTTGAAAAATAGAGGTACGGCACAGAAAGGACAGTTGACGAAACACTTCCGCCAAACCACATTTCTAAGGAGAGCAAGCAGCACACTGTGAAGACAATTTGAGGCATTTCCAAAGAGAAAAAAAAAGGGCAAGCAGTCGGTGCATTAGTGGGCCATCACTAGGTGTGATGAAGAAGCGATGTTCCTGTAAGATAGCCTGTAGACGTGTAAGGTTTAGGTTGTGTGCTGCTTCTTTTCGCTATCGCTCGGACTGATCCTTTAATGGACATTTTCTTGTGCGCTGGCATGATTCTACAGCTTGGATTAATGCAATTGTCAGAGCACATCCTTAAACTCTATTACATCAGTGGCTCATGATAATTTGATAGTTCATCTGTGTTATTATATCTGCGATCAGATTACGTTGTCCGACAGCACGTATAAATCAGTATTGTTTCTGATGATAAAGAGTTGGATGGTGGCACCCGTATTTGTCAGTTCGTGTCTTCAGTTCGTCCCAGCCTTTCTGAGCCACACCTATTTTCTCATACATTCACATTACCTCCTCCAGCCTGCCATCTCGGGTCACCAAGTGTGGTAAGCATATCAACTGCCTTCTCAGACATTGTTATTACTTTCAGTACACGTGTGAGTAGGCAAAAGTGTCTTCCCATAGTGAGTTTTCAAGTGGCGCATAAGGCCGCACTTTTGAGTAAAGCTCATAGGAGAAAGGTTGCACACGAAAGGTTTCTCGCCAGTGTGGATATGGACATGTCTGGTCAGGTCGCTTCGTTGCCTAAAGGCCCGGCTGCATTGGTTGCATTCGTACGGGCGCTCGTCTCTATCGTGGGTCCTTTGGTGTATCGCCATGACCCGCTTGTAGTTTGTGGTGTGGTCACATGTAAGACACCACTTCACATAGCCCATCTCGCGAGAGCGCAGAGGATGGTTCAGGTGGCGAGACACAGCAAACCGGCCTGCATAAGAAAAATTGCCAGTCTCGGCAAGAAACAGAGTAAAAGCGTAGGGAAAGACAAGGTGCAACTCACTACTATAAGCTCAATGTACAAATCAGTGTACCCACACTTGAGCTTCTTACAATGTACACTCGTGAGCAAAAGTATATGGACCACGGAAGCGCGAGCTGACATCTTCTACACCGTTTAGTTGGAAGCCATCTGCTGCAGAGAGCATTGCCTTGACCGAATGACTGTCGAGAGCATTGCTCTGATGGAAAGCATCAGAGAAATGCCCCCAACTGTAGACATGTCTGCAATACATGGCCCAGAACTGTAGACATGTCTGCAATACATGGCCCAGACAACATAGGTGTCTGGACAGCAAAGGTTCTTATGTCTTTGCTCGCCGGTGTACCATGAGCGAAAGAATAAGGACCTTTGCTGTCCATATACCTTTATAAGCATGTATGTATGCATAGAAAGAAAACAACTTTGCATCATAATCAACTGATCAAGTATAGCAGTGTCCACAAGCTAATCACGAACAAGAAGGGTCACGTAAGAGGCTAATTATTTATACATGTTTGGATAAGCACAATGTTATCAGAATAAACCTAGTTCAACCACACCACACACAGCATGAATAAGCAATTATTATGACAAACAATTGCTAGTTTTAATGTGGTGGCGGTGGTGGTGATGGTGGTGGTGTTGTAGCAGGCGGGGTTAGCCTGGCCTGCATGGCCGGCAATTGTTCCTCCTGAGCATCTCCTGAATTTGGAAAATGTCACCACGTGTCAGACAGCCCAGTGTCTCGCAGGAAGACTAACAAAATTCGTTGCACGTTCCTCCTAGTTGCCGCGGGTCCTTCAGGAAAGATGATGTCATCAACTGTCCGGTGTCTACGACAGCCTTTTCGCAAGGTGCGGATCATCGCTGCTCTTTGCGCATCAAACTGTGGGCAAAGCCAAATGAAATGTTCAATATCCCCGATGTCACCACAGAAAGCACAGAACGGGGAAGCGTATCTCCCAGTCTTGAATGACCAGGCCGGGGTGTATGCGGAGCCGGTTCTAATGCGGTACAACAGCGTCGCTTCTTCGCAAGAAAGTCCATGAATTACACATGCTTGGTGTGAAAACTTGTAGATCGCCTTGAAATGATTGCGTATCACATCTTTTTTGTTCTGGTAAGTCTTGGGAATTCTTACTTTTGGAAACGATGTACGTGCTTCGCAAGCAAGGGCATCAGCCTTTTCATTGCCCTCAATGCCAACGTGGGATGGGATCCACTGGAACTTTATATTAAAACTCTTGCCATTTAGGTGTTTGAATAGTGCCAGAGATTGCCTGGTGAACTTTTCTTGAGGTAGGCCACGATGCAGTCTTTGTAGCGCCGATTTAGAGTCCGTCAGCACTACAACATCTCGTGCAGAAAAGGATCGCAGTTTTCGCAAAGCCGCCGTAATTGCAGCGCTTTCTACCGTTGTGGACGAAACCACGCGATCCAGGCGGCCCGACCATGACACGCCCAGGCAGGGTATGCAGAAAGCCACTGCGCAGCTATCCGTCTGTGTGCACACTGATCCGTCGGTGTACACTTGTAGGTGGCTGCGGTACATGGTGCTCAAGTGGTCCAGCGCAAGAAATTTTGCTTCCGCGGCTGGAATGGTGCGCTTCGCTGGTAGATTGGGTACGCGGAAGTTGCATCCCCAAAAGACCATGGTGGGTCCATAGGGTGCCGTTTAGGCAGTTTTAAGCCTAAATAATGAAATGTGTTTAGTGCCGCGTTGAAATGTGAGCCAGTTCTTGCTCTTAGCCGCCGGAGAAGCGCCGTGCCTGCGAAGGACTCGCCCAGTCTTGACAGCTGCATCAATAAGGCCTAAGACGCCAACAGACGGAGCGGAAAAGACTCGGCTTCATTGGTGACCTTCGTGTTTGAAGCCGCCTGAGGGACTCCCATCGCCAAGGGAAGACCCTTTCTGTGCACTGCCTCTAGGCGTTCGAACTGGCTTGGTGATGGTGATATCAGGGGCAGCTGATAAAGAATGCGGCTTGTTATAAGCGCATCATTCAATTTAAGCATGGACATAGGATTGTTGCCCCAACGGACCCCTGCCATGCGATGAAGAGCGACGAAGATGTACACGTCTGCGAAATCCTCTAGAAGGGTCTGCAAATCTATCCCTTGTTTCAAAGGGAGTGCTTCGAATGGCCTGTGTGTTCGGATCTTCCCAGAAAGACTATTTATTACTGCCCATATCTTTGTCAAGGGCGTAAACGTTGATAAACTCTCACAGAAAGCGGCCCATTGATTTTGTCTTAATTTTTTTGTATGGCGACGAATCGCAGCGTTTATCCTGTTATATTCGGTTTTCGCAGACGGATTTCCTATTGTTCTCATTAATTTCCGCTCCGCCCGTCTACGTGCTGCGCAGAGGTTCTTCAATTTCAAGTCAGGAGCAGGAAAATGGTCGGGCAGTTTCAGCAATGAAGTTGCTGATCACTTGCTTTGCAACATATCTGCGAACAGCTCACCAGTGGATTTGTCCAACACTTCTCTGTGGGTGTCCCAGCGTGTTACATTGCAGAATTGTCGACCAGCAGTTCGAAATCCCAGGATATTGGTGAAGATGGGGAAATGGTCGCTGCCCATCTTGTCTGGAGCCGTGGTCGATGATACCAGAAGGTCCGAGGAGTGAAGTACAAGGTCTATTGCACTCCATGAATCTGGTGGCCTGAAAAATGTAGGTTTACCATCGTTCGCCACACATAAGTCGGCAGCATCCGCAGCTGCTAGAAGTTCCTTGCCTCGAAAATCTACTCTTATCTCCCCAGAGTGGATGATGCACGTTAAAATCACCACAGATTATTCGAGGAGCGGGACATCGAGTGCAAAGGTCCTTTAGAAAAGTCTCCATAGAGACCTTTTTTCGTGGGCTTATGTACACCGATACTACACTCAGTTTTTGGTTTCCCAGGCACACTTGCACAGCAGCGATTTCCAGTGAGTTGGAACAGAGGTCTTGCACTGGTAAGGCGACGTGAGGGATTTCCCGCTTTATGTATATCATTGCGCTTCCATTTGCAAACGACGTTATGCTCGGGTTGCCGTGTCGGGTGTACCCTCGGAGCGTCCTTGCATTCGGTAGACCGGCTTCGGAGAGGGCTAGAATCGGTAATGGGATGTCGCGCAGGAAAAGGTTGAGTTCGCACAGGCGTTTTAGAAGACCGGCACAGTTCCATTGCATTATTAAGGGCACTTTTGAAAGGACGAAATAGACCAGGTGGGCGAGATATTGCCATTATTCTACTGTGCGTTTGTGGAAGCAGAGCAAAGTAACACTGACTCTAGAGCCAGGACTGCTTCCAACATATCCTTCGTTGAACTCGCAGGCATCTTAGCGACGTGTGAACGTAGTGCGGTGAACAGAGCGCGAATAACGTGCTCGAGGTTTTCTTGCTGTTGGCTGTCCAGATGATACTTGAGGTGGGCTCAGTGCATCAGCGTAGGTGCGCTTGGCGGACTCTTTCGTGATACGTTTCTCACCAGCGTTGAGCACTTGCGTTGACTCAGTTAAGAGATATGCCTATTTAGCTCTGCTCCTGCACGTAGTTGAAATAAAAAATGAAAAAGCTGTGACAGCTTCAGCTTAACTAGAAAATTAATAAACAATTCTAAAGCACAGTACAATACATTTGAATCAGTGAACACAATCATCCTACATATCTGCTTATGTGCATCCTTTGCCATGATATTGTGTTTTAATCCTCGGGTATTCCATCTCACTCTGTAAACAATGTGCTTTGAACTGTGCGACAGGAAAGTGTCCAAGTTGAGACAGATGAGAGTCAAAGGAAAACAAATTTTAAAAGCATGTTGGAAATTACTTATTTAAGAGAAAAGGGAAATGTACACATAGTTTGACTCTTACCAAGCTGCCCTGCATTTCTTACGCCAACAAATCTCACAGCTATTCGCACCGTGAGAATGGCAAAAGAAGTTCTGCCCCTAATTGCAATTAAACCAATTTCAAGTTTCACAATATCAAGGCGACTTCTCTTATAGCCACGATACAGCCAGATAGTCGACCACAAATACCACAGCTAGTACCAGAACGTTCACCGAGGACTGCAATGTAAGAGTTCTCAGTATAAAGGTTCTCCATGCTAGTACTTCCAAGCAAATCTAGCATTTTTCTCCTTCCCAGAATGCCTAGGTTTCAGAGATCGACGTAAACTGCTCATTATGTCCTTTCAGCAAAAATATAAAAGCAGCCAGCCGAAAGAACTAGAACGTTCTTGCAATCAGCAAAGTTGTTCACTGAAACACCAAGGTCTAATAAATCTTTCTTCTACTGGCCAACAAAATGGCTGAGCCATCAGCAAAGAACAAGAGTGTAGAGCTTAACAGCAATTCAAGCCAAAAAGAACAGCAATAGAAATGCATAGTACATGCAACATATTGATTTTATAATACAGGCTTTGCATTTATATATTACCCATATCGCTGAAGCTTATACCTCTGCAAACTTTTCAACTTTCTATACAGTGGCCGAAGTGTTCACAAGTTGCACTGTGGCGGACTAGTAATACGCACATTTGTGCGATTTTACTTGGCTACGTTTTGAGAGAACCTCGAGTTGCTAAAATTATTGTAATGCCTTTGGTAAACCCAGTTATTCATACTAGACTACAGCTACTTACAAAATAAATGGCTGCGATAACCGAAATTCTTACATAAAGCAACCCTAGTTCTCAAAACGCAATGGCTACGGCCAAACTTGCAGTTAGGGAGAGTTGGTTATGTATGCACGAAGTTTCCACCATTTGACATGGACAGAGAAAGACTAGATACAAAGTGCACTGTGTGTCCTGCTTCTTATTCCAAATTATCTGGCACCCATTTCTTGATACACAGAACACAATGTATCCCTTTCGTGTTGATCTGAAGTTTTATGAATGGCTATTCAGTAAAAATGTAACTCACGTAAGCTTAGGAAAAGGAAAGAAGCATAAAAGGGTGCAGCATTAGTGAGGCAGCTGGTGCAGCTGCTGAAATCTTTTGGCCGTAGTATATCCTGTGAGCAAAGCAAATAGTATTTCAACCTGAAATACGAGCAATAACTTTGGTTTATACTTGTTCTCCCAACACATGGCTCGAACTGAAGTGACCACTCGGAACTGTGGGACAAGAGTTCCAGCTGCCACGAACAGTTGAGCATCGAATCACCGCTGGTAAACGTTTATGAAGGTACGAGAAGCCACAGAGCATGCATTTTTACTTCGATCAATGATCATGTGCACGTACTTCAGACAAAAAAAAAGAGACAAAAAAAAAGAGAAGCAGCAGCCAATGACCGTAAACACCTTTTTTTTTGCCTAAGATATGTTGCGGAGAAACGGAGCAAGGGCACGGTGTTCCTGGGTTTTATGGCGAGCAAAACCTCACTCACAAACTAGGAGAATGCCGACTCGGTGAGCCCCAATATAATGGTGGTGCAAACAACTCACGGAATTCGTACCTAAAGATTTCTTTCGACCTAAAAGACATCCAAGTGCCCGCTTTTCCTTCTCCACGTGATTTGTTCCAGTCACGGAAAGAGCGATCAAGGTCATTTTCGTTTAGATACAACATACATTTTCTACAAATACGAAGAGCAAGTTTCGAAGGGTAATGACAATGCCAGCAACAGAGCAGATTACATAGTATTCAACATAGATGAACTCGTGTCCGCATGGTACTGTTCTTGTACCATGAGGACAATAAAACAAAACCACAAACGGTATCAAAATATCTTTACTACAAAACGTATCCAACACAAAAATACAGCAACATCAATAACACGTAATCACAGTAACAAAACAAAGGAAAAAACTACTGGAACACTCAAAAGCTAGCTGTGCCTCAAATAGTGAAGGTTTGATTAAGGCTGCGAAACAATACAGTAATATTAAGCAAGTGCTTCAATCACAGTGAACACGTAACATGTGCTTGGCACAGACAGTAGCAAACAGGTGAGCCACACTTACAAATCATTGAGTATGTCCGATTACTTTTCATATAAGAAAAGGTGATTCAATAGTATCTCACTTAAGACATCAGCAAGGCACACTCTAATTTGAGAAGAGAAAAGACGAAACATTTTGCCTTGAAACATTCCGTGAGTTACTTGACCACACAGAAAAAGGAGTGAACTGTGAAAAAACAGGTTCCAACACCTAAAGCAAACCATACCTAAACTCATTGCTTCAAGGAACAAACCACAGAAAATCTAATGGGCCAGCAACTTTTTGGAAGAACCCGTAATTCTTTGGAACAAGGTAAACAGGCAGAACAATGCCGTTTGGGTTTTAAAGCAAAGCATTAGATGGCTTGTTCATAAGGGGGCTATAAATCCTACACATCAGCAAAAGAATACTTCACAAATCAAGTTATTTTTGAGAGATTTTTGGAACAAGAATACATAATCGCTTGCACAAATCCCACATACCACACAGAACAACAGGTTCCAACAGCTTTTATGATAAGCTCCAAGAATATTTACATCTAATTTGTACGTTTTCCAGAACTAGATTCATCACTACAATCTGTTTTAGCGTCTCAGTGTTGCATTTCCCTGGTGCTATGAAATCCCCACCATCGAGCCCCAACACAAGCTCCTCTAGCCTGCCACTTCGCACCCCGAAATGATACATGCACATCATAAAGCTTTCTAAAATTAACTAGAGGGTACTCTGGTGCTGCGATCGTTCAGCGACCACGGGAATGATGAATAGTACGAATTGGCCTAGTTTTCGTACTTGCGGGGCTCGAATCGCACTTGTGCCTTCATTTATAGCTTATGTTTCAATTTTGTTTCGAAGAAAAGAAAAACCCTTTCAAGTTGATTGATTGATTGATATGTGGGGTTTAACGTCCCAAAACCACTATATGATTATGAGAGACGCCGTAGTGGAGGGCTCCGGAAATTTAGACCACCTGGGGTTCTTTAACGTGCACCCAAATCTGAGCACACGGGCCTACAACATTTCCGCCTCCATCGGAAATGCAGCCGCCGCAGCCGGGATCAGCCTTTTCAAGTTAATGACCCGATTTGAAACGGTAAGCCTAAAAGAATCAGGTGATGAAGCGCAATTGCTGAACATTTGCCGATTTTTTTTTTTCATGAAAAAATAGCTCTAAGTCACATGAACACACCCAGAGCCAAAAGTATGAAGGTTAGACAAATCCGTGTACTACCCTTCATTCCCACGCTAGCTGAAGCACCGTGCATTGCAGCTTCCATAGACACTAGCGCCAGAGTTAATTCTAGTGCATATTAAGGAAACTCTATGATGCACATTACTTGTCTTCTCGAACACTGCCATTACTGTCAGCACAGGCGTGAACACCATTAGGCCAGATGGACTGTCCTGCCAGTATGAGTTTCCAAGTGCCTTACAAGTAGGTACTTTCGCGTGAAATCCATGGGACAGAGGTGGCACTGGAAAGGTCTCTCGCCGGTGTGGATGCGAAGGTGCCTGTTCAGGTGGCCCATCTGCTTGAAGGCCAAGTGACAGTGCTCACACTGGTACGGGCGCTCGCCCGTGTGAATCCTTTGGTGATGCTTCATAGAGTGTTCGCTATCTGTGACGTAGCCACACTGAAGACACCGCCTCAGATGCATCATCTTGCGAGAGTGCCGAGGATGCAGTTGACGCGACTGGTGAGGCACAGCTATCGGGTCTGCACAAGTGAGTAAAATTGCAATTCTAAGCAAAGGATTGAGCGAAACTTGGGGGACAGACAAAAAACAAGCATAAGGTGCAGAACGCTACTGTATGCAATAGAATATAGAGAGGAACGAAATATGGAAGGGACTAGCACATAAAACTGAGAAAGCGTGCAATGCTTATAACCTGCAATGCAGTCCACAACAAGAGTTGATGTGCTTATATGGCATTTTGCACACATATATTGACACACAAATGCCAGAATATTTTCTGTAAATGGGGGCAACTCTAAAGCTGTCCTTTAGATAATAATAATAATAATAATAATAATAATAATAATAATAATAATAATAATAATAATAATAATAATAATAATAATAATAATAATAATAATAATAATAATAATAATATGATGATGATGATGATGATACTATAATCTGGGGATTTTACGTTCCAAAGCCACAATATAATTATGAAGGACATTGCAGTGGAGGGCTCCAGAAATTTCGATCATCTGGTGCTTTTAACGTACAGACAATGCACGATACAAGAGAATCTGCCATTGTGTCCTTTTGCATGGCTAACAATGCAGCAAAAGCAACTACAAAAGGTGGTGGTAGAGTTTACTTTTGCAAGCAGACTTAATGCCTGTGTCCCATGCTTAGTGAAAAAAAAAACAACAAAAAGATCACAAGTCAACAAAGAAATGTATCAATAAATCGGATGAACAAGAAATACGTCAACACAAAACAGGCCCAAAATTCCATTCGTCCTATGTGTGGTTGACAACATGCACAGCTTCCTTTTGTTGCACAGCTTCTCTGCGGTTTAGAGAGACGTCAAATGATGAAAGAACTGATTGTAGCCAATTCACCTTAATCGTCTTCTGTGAGCACTCGTTGCCTGAATCATGTTTAAGCTATATGGCAAACAAGATAGATGATGAGCAATTGAATGAAACAAGTTGTGTTCACAAATAAAGTTACCAATTAGGGTCACAATAGGGACAAGTTGTTTATATGCACCTGGATAAACACTATTCATCAAAAGCACAGATCTAGACGAGGTACCTCGTTTACAATAAGCAGTTGCTATTTTTATGAGCTATGTCTTTTCAGTTTTACTCCTGTACATAACCAAAAAAATTATTATGAAACGGCTGTTACCAATCCAGGTACACTGAAAAGTTAATAAATGATAGTAAAGCATGGTACACCATGTGCGAGTAATCAGAGAGGACACACAGACATCTCTCATGCCTACTTAATTGTACCGATGCAGCATGTTATCCGCCCGTCTTTCATCTATAATTTTCCACACTATGTAATGAACTGTACCACAAGAACATTTAAAGCCAATCATACGGTGAATTATAGCACACACACACAAAAATTTGCACATAAATGTCCACTGTCAAAGGAATAGGAAGAATGTATACACAATAACTAGCATAACACAACTTAGCGTGCCATAACATAACTTTCCTAGGACAAGTAGTCTGTGTAGTTAATTCGGTTGTGTGTGAAAGCACACTCGGGTGGTTGTTTGGGAGCGCTCCGACTGCGTTTGCAAGTCATGAATTCAACAGCTTTGAAGCTCTACAATGAGAACAAGCAAATATGCAAGTTATGAACCTGTTTAATTTATTGATGTCTCAGATTTAACGTGCCAAAACCACGATATGATTATGTGGGATGCCATAATGAAGGGCTCCAGAAATTTTGAACATCTAGTGTTCTTTAACGTACACCGACATCGGACATACACGGGCCTTTACCATTTTTCCTTGATTGAAATGCGGCAGCCACGACCGGGATAGAACCCGCGACCTTCGATTCAGCAGCCGAACACTGTCACTGCTACATCGCTGCGGCTGATTATCAACCTCCTTCCTTATCGTGCATTGGTCCACTTATTTTAGCAGTAAGGCCTATGCTCTTTTAGACCGTTTTTTAGGAGCCTCCAGAGTACTTTGAAACAACCACACGAATGTAGCTAAGGTGGTTGCTTGGGCGTGTTGGTACAATTAACATATTGGAAGGAAACAGGGCAAAAGAACTGTATGTGTCCTTAATTGTCTGGTTTCTTGGTTTTCATGCTGTTTCCTTCCAACACTTGAATGCACCATGACACAAGAAAGATCGTGCGGCATTTTGCAAACTCACAAATTTCATGGCTACCAGTACTGTGAGAAAGCTGAAATGAGTTCGGCTTCTACACTGGTGAGCCAATGTTACGTTTAACAAGCTTAATGTGCTCACTCTATTTTGAAGTGCACATACAGCCGAATCTCAATAGTTCGAACTCGAAGGGGCCCGAAAATTTGTTTGAATTAAAAGAAGTTCGAATAAACAGAGGGCTCTCTGAGCAGTGGCACATGTGCATTGAGCTAACACACGAGGGGGAGGTTTCAGAACTTACATTTATTCACAAATCACAGGACATCCGTTATTAATTAAAGTAATCGGTGATGCGTTTACCTTGCAGCGAGTCAATCAATTTTGCACGCGGCTAGCAAAGCATTTCTACTTTGGCTTCAGCATTCTTCTTGCAAGAGAAGTTGCACGCAAAAATGTGCCATTGTCAGATAGGAAGGAGACGCGGCGTGACGCGCTTTGTCCCAGAGTTTCACGTAACTCATCAACCCATCATTATCCGTATCTCTGTCTCGGCACTTCCTACTTTCCGGCGCCGACACTTTCTAAAGATGACAACAACGACTGCGTAGCGGAGAGCTCAGCATGGCCAGCACGTGTGGAGAAAGGAGGAGCATCTTTATGTGCAGAGAAGCAGATCGGAATTTTGAGAGAAAACCAACACTCCACGGCAACTTTTTTTTTTCGCTCTCTTCGCGCGCGCTGTAATGAAAGGAGAAGGGTTACGTGGCAGGGATGAAAAAGGGGGAAGCGTGGCACCGGCGCAGTGAGAGACCCCCCTCCTCAAGGCACAGAGCCGTGCTCCTGCAAGGGGGCAAGCGCTGCAGAAGATAGTGCCTTTTCCTCTCCTTACACCACGCATTCATTCAACCCAGCGACAGCTTTCTTTTTTTTCTCTCTCTCTCATTCGCGCACGGCCTTGGAAGGAGAAGAGTTTTTACATGGCAGGGACGGAAAAAGGAGAAGCGTGACACGGATACGTCGCAGATCGGCATTTGAGAGAGAGCAAACATTCCACCGCAGCCTTTCATTTCCTTTACGCGCAGGGTTGACGTGTCGCAGGTGCTGCCGCGGGATTGGGCAGGGTGTTGAGAGCATTTTCGGAGCACGGTATGTTGGAATTAACGGTCGCAAGTGCTTGCACGTTAGAATTACCGGGCTCTTTCGCCCATTGAAATATACACATAGCTTTGACAGGACCTCATCTAAGTTCGAATTAACCAGAAGTTTGAATTAAGCGTGTTTGAATTAATGAGATTCCACTGTATTACTCGTTAGTGGGCCATAAACGATGCACTGCCAGAAAGTTTTTCAGGGGCTGGAAATGGAAATTCTGCATTGAGATTTACTACACCAATATTTCTAAGCACCTCTTTTTCACTGCCACAATGCCTAGGTCGCACAGATCAGTAAAAACAGCTTCTTTCAGCACCATAGCAGTGCAAAATAACTTCATAAAAAATAGCAATGTTTTTACAGCCAGTAGAGATGTTCACTAATACACCAAAGTTTAAATCATCCTTCTGTAATTGCTGGCTCTTTCTTCTAATGTAAACTCTTCTCTCTGTCGACCTAAAAGATGGTTGAGTCCCCTGTAAGGAATAAGAGTTTGATTGAGCACTAAAAAAAAGACAACAGAAATGCAGAGCAAATGCAACAATATATTCTATAAGGAATTACCAAACAATATAGAGTTCAACGACGGGAATACTCCCCGCCTGACCTCAAGCTCAACCGGGCCAAGTCCGTTTAATGGCAGCAATTACAAACAGGCATCCCGTAATTATGAAACACATTTACCCCGACCTGTATATGACCAATTCATGCAAGTATTGTAGCAATAGGGCCACACTAGCGCATATTCTCTGGGAGTGTCCAGCACAAATTGGCAAAACGAGAGACGCGGCCTCCAATGAGGACCTTCGAGAGCGTTGGCGGACCGTGCTGCTCACCTATGGACTAGATAATCAAGTCTGGGCGATCCAGCAGGCCAAAGAAGCTGCTGAGAGACATGGTCTCTCAACCAGCTCTTAGGCGAGAACCCAGCCCAGTAACCTGCAGGAAGTGAATGAAGTTGTTCACTCAGTCTATGCCTTCACATGCCACGTACATTGTTGAAGCTTGCACCTTCTCTGATTGGCAAGCCTGCTATTCTGGCTTTAAGTGCTCTTAAACAGGATAAACTTTATCTCCTAAACGAGCTCACCAATTCATGCAGAAAGTTGCAGCAATTACATCTTGTGAATTGCAAAATGCTGTGCACTGTGCACATTCACCACCTGTGCAATCCTTCTTGTACGCGAAGCTACATATTGCCGCGTGCATAGCTGCATTTAGCGGCGAGATAGCAACGACAACGAAGAACGCGGATTTGCTCGAGAGGCGCAACGCAGGCGAGTGAAGAAGACGACAATCTTCACGGCCTTCTCTGAGAGCGTCTCTACAAGTTCTACTGTTCGTGTTTTTAAATAAACCCCCCGTAATTTATAACCCGCGCACTGGTGGAGGAGCTAGGTACTACTACCTCATGGTCAGCACCCCTGTGAGAAGCCCCGAGTCCAGCCCTACGAGACAGCCACGCGTGGAGACGCCTGTGCACCGCTCAAGCCGTCGCCTTCAAGGTCTTGAACCGGAATTTGGCCTTTTAAAGGGAGCAACACTTTCGACAGCCACCCCTACTGAAGAAATGGCAAGGAGTCCTGCACAGGTGACGGTCCAGAATATGCGCATTCCTGAACCATCTTATGGCCGGCCGAACGAAGATGCGCAAGACTGGCTTGAGCAGTTTGAACGGGTAGCTAAATCGAACTACTGGAGCCTCGAGGGAAAGCTCTTCCACGTATACTTTGCCCTTGAAGACGGCGCGAAGACGTGGTTTATAAACCGGGAGGCAACTTTGACGACATGAGAGGAGTTTTGTCGTCGGTTTCTTGACACCTTCGGTAACGCGTACCGACGCGAAAACGCACGCCTTCTTGAAGGACGCACCAAACAGCTGTATGAAAGCGTCGCCATGTTTGCTGAGGATATGGTGCGTCTGTGCCACCGCGCGGACCCCAACATGCCCGAGGCTCGAAAGCTAAGCCATCTCATGAGGGGCGTCAAAGAGCAGGTATTTGTTGGTTTTGTGCGCAATCCGCCGACAACAGTGGACGAGTTCACCAGGGAGGCCACCACAATAGAGCGTGAGCTGCAGCAACGGTACCGACAGTCTGATCGCCCGGCCACCGGCGCAGCTGCAGGCGCCGCCGCACTTACCGCAAACGACGAGTTTTCTCTACACCACCTGATTAGACAGATCGTGCGTGAGGAGATCGCGAAGGAGACCGCAAAATACACATTGCAGTCACAGGCGCCCCCACAGCAGGAGTCCACCGTAGCCTCCGTCGCTGAAGTCATTCACTGTT